GGATAATTTACCACTCACAATGTTAAAAAAAATGTTTTTTTGACTAATCTTCATCTTCAATTTGAACTATGATTTATTAATTTAGTAATGGCAATGTTTATATTCCTTGTAACTTAGGTGCATTTGAAAGTAATCAATGTTTATTTTTGTATTTTTTCTGATTTGCCATTTAGTAGTCTGTTTTGGGTTAGGTGGAAGAACAGATGTCAGTCTGCATCATCCGGTGCCGATTGTTATACTGAATCTCCCATTTATTTTTTTTTAATACACATGTTGAGATAATTGTAATAATGGAGATAAAATTGTTTTATCAAAATGGGTGTTTTCGCGCGCTTTGCCGTTTTTACGGTAACCATAATCTTCCTACCAAAAGGACTATTTGCAATGTGGTGGATAAATTTGAGTTCAGTAAACGATCGACCAACATCCGTATGTCGCAAGACATGTCGAAAACATTGCCGCTGTCTGTGAGAGTGTGCAGGAGAATCCGAGGCGGTCGATTTCGCGTCGCTCACAGGAACTCGGCCTTTCATAAACCATTTGGCGAATTTTGCGTCGTAACTTGGGCCTGCATCCTTACGAAATTCAACTGACCCAGGAACTGAAGATAAACGATCATAAACAATGACGTGTGTGTGTGTTCGCTGAATCGGCTCTGAAGCAGTTGGGAACTGACAAATAATTTCCATCGAAAAATCATCTTCCGCGATGATTGGCCAATATTTCTTTGAGAAACACGTTGACCAGGCCATCACTGTCAACGGCGAGCAACCTTTTGACCTGAATTGTATGAACTGGACACCAACGACAAGTGGTTTCGACAGGACGACGCTACATGCCACACAGCTCATGTCACATTGGATTTCGTGCGATTTGATCCCGTTAGACTTTTTCTTATGAGGTTTTCTCAAGTCGCAGGTGTCTGCAAATGAGGCACAAACCACAGCGGTCCCCAAAGCTAACATAACCTATGACATCAGTCAAATTCAGCCTGATTTATGCGTCAGAGTTATGGAAAATTGGACGTTTTGGATGGGCTCCACCCAGAGAAGTCATAACGGACATTCGAACCATGTTATATTTCATACATAATGGCATTAATATGTTTTTAAAACGAATAACAAATTTCGATGTCGATACCTCACACACACATTGTTTTATTTAAATTTGAAGATAGTAAGCGCTCAATGAAAGTTTTGATACATTCCAATGTGAAATTTTCACCTAACCGTTGACAAAACCACAATACGTGTTTCACTACACAATAACTTCTTCAGACATATTTAATACAGTATTTCATAAAGAATGTGGACTCATGTGAACTACGAGATTATATGATTGAGAGGATCCTCTAAAAGTCATCTCAGACATCTTGAAGTGGCAAAAAAACGTTTTTTGGGAATAATTCGCGAAAGAAATAATAGATATTCAAGCCACGCTCTTTATGAAAGGTCTAACATGTTTGATCTGAGACAATTATTTTTTATTGGCATAACTACAACACAGTTCTTTAATAAAAATGAACTCCAGAAACCTATACAACAAGGCAAATTGATAACTTAATACCCTTCGCATCCAAATCAATAAATTGGTCAAAACTGTTACAGAATCCTAGCTCAAAAACCTTTCAATATAGTGTTGTATAAGTGANGGCTAGCTTCTTCAGGGGTTCATATATCTTGAGTTTATCTTCGATGACTGCGTGAAGCATATTTATGTTGATTCAGGTAGTTTGGTGTGCTAATTTTTGTACCTGGATTAAGTGAATTGTCAATAACATTCGTTTACCCTTTTCTACCTGTCGGCATGATGTTTGTTATTCTTGAACGTCTTAGAATGAAATTATTTATTCGGTTGGGGCACCCAGCTTCTTTTTTTCTGTTGAAATCATTCGTGTGTTTGTGAATCTCTATTGCCTCTATTGCTATGGTATCCCTGGTTAGGGGGGGGAATGAGTTTCGTGTTTTCAAACAAAATCCTGTGTGCTTGTTCCGCCACAGTCGATTGCCCGTTGGGTCTAGTCTGCAGTTTCTTTCATGTTCCTTCAACCTTGTTCCCATGGATCTTTAGGTGGTTCCAATGTATATCTTCCCACAAATGTACGGTATGCAACACACCCCTGCTGATGATAGGGGGTGCCTTTTGTCTTCAGCGGACCTGAGGCCTTGTTGTATCTTCTCGGTAGGTTAGAAAACCGTTTTGATGTTGTATTTCTTCAAAAGTTTTCCAGTGCTGTCCTTAGGGGTATTTGGTAGATACGCGCGTGCAATCATCTGAGCCTCTTCCACATTTTGAATCGGGGAGCTCTTCAGGTTTATGGCCTTGTTGATCTCGGGTACACTGTATCCATTCGTTCTCGAAGTCACTTGATGATGTTTTAGTTCTTTCTCTAGATATTCTGGTTCACATATTCTTCGAGTCCGTTCAGTTAGAGAAGAAATGACTCCTCTCTTTTGACTAGGATGGTGGTTGCGCGCAAGTACCTATCCGTGTGAGTGAGTTATCTAGCACCATATCGTTCGACACTTCACACCAGAATCAAAACGATCGTCATCTGAATAGACTGCACGTGGTGGGCCGACTCCAAAGCGTGAAAAGTCGGCTGGCACGGTTATGGTATCAGTATTTTGGGATCCGCATTGTATTATATTATTCATCAACAACAGCGACTATTACATAGCATTATTGGAGCGTTTGAAAGACGAAGTCGCGAAAAAAAGACTCCTTTTAAAAAAAAAGAAGTGCTATTTCATTAGAAAAATTCACCGTATCGCAAATCAATGAAAACGATGGAAAAATTGCATGAATTAGGCTTAGAATTGCTTCCAGATCTACCGTATTCTCCGGAGGAAACCGTCGAAACTGAGGCCTATTTTGAGGCTGAAGACAAAACGTACTAAAAAAATGGTATCAAAAAATTGTAAGACCGCTATAATCGTTGTATCGCCCTCGAAAGCAAATATATTGAATAATGAAGTTTATTGAAAAAATCTATGCTAGCCTACGAACGTTTCAATCCAACTATTATACCCCTTCCAATTTATATTTCCTCACATCAAATTTCCCAAGTCAATAGGTATTGGAATAAAAAATAAATACTCACTGGTAAAACGGATTATTGAATTAGCATCCATGACCATGAAGTGGAAAACAAGATTTCAAAACTTACCTGAAAACAAAAACAATATTATTTCATCTATTACTAGATTGGATAAGGATTTATCTTCGAAATCCTAAATAATTGAATTTTTGAAGACTAACCCACATATGTTTTCCAATAAATTTTTTTTTTAATTTAATCCAACCTACAAGTCCACCCCAAATTGGCCCAATGCAAGTCACCCCACCCGCGTCTACTCCAAAACCCACACCAACCCAACTGAGGAGTGAACAATTTTGGAATCCCGAAAAACACTTTTTTCGACTAATTGGAATGACTCTCAGGAATCGTTTTCAATACGATTCGGATCTTGAATCGTAAATATTCGATATTTCACCAAGAGTATCTCTCGAAAATGAAGAATTGCCCAGAAAGCGGTTATCGCTATCATATTGTACGCCTCATAAATAGTCCCATGCAATACTCAAATCGAAATGCTGGGTGCTATCAACCTAACCTAACCCAACCTAACTGTACTAACCTAACCTAACATAACCTAACCTAATTTAACAAAACCTAACATAATCTAACAAAACCTAACACAACATAATCTAACCTGAAGAGACTTTGTTTCATACTAGTGATAAGCGATCCGAATTCGTAGAGAGAGAACATATTTTTCAACTTATTCATGAAGAAGGTTCCTGTTTTACTTGAAGTAAAACGGGAATTAGAACGTTCCACAACAGTTTGAACTATTCGAGAGCATTCGAAAGCATTTATCAATATTCTAGAATATCCCGAAACATACTGGAGTGTGGTGGAATGCTGGAGATTAGAGTGTCATTGAATTGAAAGAGGTATATTTTTAGGAGGGATTAAGTTTTGGAAAGGAGGTTTTGGCTGAACCTCCATCTTAAAAAAATGTGNACATGAGTCGGTTAGAAAGGTGTTGAAATTACATAAGTTTCACCCGTACAAAACACAAATTCTTCAAGAACTAGGCGATGATAATCCAGACCGACGAATTGAGTCTGTATCTGAAAGTTACTTCTTTGCATGAATGATACATTTTTGTACAGAGTTTATTTTGATTGATTGATTGTTTTCTTCCTTTCTTTGAAAGATTCCCACATTTCTTTGAACATGGAGAAGTAGAGAGCCAAAACCATTCTTCCCAGTAATTAATCTCTCCCGAAACTATACCCCTTTCAATTTATGTCCATTCAATGTCCAGCGTTGCATTAGCTGGGGAAATAGTTGTTTACCGGAAGGCATTCACCAGAACCTACTTTGTAGGTTTGGGAAAAATATTGTTCCGATATTTCATTTCGAAATTTTTACCATCTCATACTCGAATGCTTCGTTTTCAAGAAAACAGGACCACTAATATGGGGTCGTCCAAATATTACGTAAGCACAATAGAGGGAGGTCTTAGCTTTGCTTATTTTTGATGACATGTGGGCGAGGGGGTCTTGATGTTGATTTCGTCAGCAGCAGTTATTTACTTTTTTCAGATATGGCAACCCAGATATGTTGTCTATGATTGAAAAATGAAAAATGCATATAACAATGTTTCCGTAAGCATGAGAGGGGAGGGGGGGATAAGAGCTTTGCTTACTTTGGCTGACAATGAGATAAGCGGTACATAATTGTAATAAATAGGCTTACGTAATACTTGAACGGCCCTTATAGACAGTAAATGAACCAGCGCCTATAAGATGTAAATTTTACCAGACGTGTTTGCCAACACCAACAAAGCGGTCACTTTTGTAGATGAGCTAATGAGCCAGAGAATGTTCGAATGTTGAATTTCATGTAACATATCTATCAAACTGTTGAATATTCTTCTAGTATAAAAATTTCAACGAGATATTTGTTGTTGCAGTACATACCAAGAATGAGCCTAAAATTAGCCTACGTCTTTATACTTTTGGCAGTAGTATCGACGACCTTACAAGAGTCGCTCCTAGAAGGAGTCATATCGTTACTGCAAGATGGGGAAAATCAATGGACTGATGAACCGGCAGACGTACCAATTTACAAAATGCAAAAAGAATACGATTTCGTGATAGTAGGGGCGGGCACAGCTGGATGTGTATTGGCCAATAGACTTTCCGAAAACCCGAACTGGTCGGTTCTACTTATAGAAGCAGGTAAAATACTTAATTTTTACTATTTTGATAGTATTTATTGCAGTAATTATTGGTTTCATTGCAATTATAGCAGACACATTTGGAACCATTGAGGGAACTTTGGCTATGATTTCTATTAGCTTCCAGAAAATCTGTCATAGATGGATATCAAATTGGTGTCCGATGACAAAAAAATGACTCCTATACCTTTCCTATTGACAAGATCTGATAAAATGTTTCCATTGTCTAATATAATATAAATTGATTGGGGAAGGAAGTCCACAACGAATTAGACGTATTGGTGAAGAGGACCGAGTCTAAATGGGAAACCCACTCATACGGAACAGTATCTGAACCAGGAATCCAACCACCATCAATCGACTAAGAATGGAATCATCAAGACTCTAGTAGACCATGCTTTCGGGCTCTGTAATACAAAGGATAGTCTCGAAAAAGAAGTAGGCATCATAAAAAATACTCTTCAACGAAATGGTTACCCCATAGTGAGGGTGGAACAGAATTTGGCTGGAAGACAGCCAGAGCCTCACAAGAAAGAGGAGCACCCACAACTAGTACTTGTACTTCCCTACATCAGGGGATTGTCGGAAAGGATAAAAAGAACTGGGTCCAAGTATAGCATCAGAACCTGCTTCAGATCTGGGAACATTATCCGTAGCAGCCTCACGAAAACCAGGCCACCAAACGAGGACTGCAATTCCGGATACCCTGCGAGTGAGGAGAATCATACATTGAAAGTTCGCATTGCCGAGTACAAGAAACACACATAGCGAGGAGAAACCAGCAAATCAGAAATAGCAGAGCATGATTGTACTCATCAACATACCATCAAGTGGCCTCAAGCTGAAATCATCCACAAGGAGAAACACTGGTTTAGGAGAAAATTCAAAGAAGCCGCATATATGTTGTCCAACAATGCATTTAGCCAAGCTAGCGTAGAGATACGCAACATATGGAAACCTATAATCAAGCGGAACCCGACCAACTCCAGCCAAACGATCAGCTCCCGCTAAAACCAATGAAGCGGAGATAGGGAAGAGGGGATAGGTGAAAGTACTCGAATGACTTATAAATACTCAGATCTCGGAGGAATAAGTCCAGTCATCACCCGAAGACGACTGTGGATACTAACAATCGAAACGTCGTGAAGTAACTTGGCTAGGAATCTTTCAATTTTTTATTGTAGTTTGTATTTTATTTTATTGTAATTTCAGTTTTTTTTGCTTAACATAATTGTTATTTTTTTCAGCTAATCTTTTTGATTTTTTATAAATTCTTTCAGGGATTTCAAATCAATTTATACCGTATTAGACAGTGAAAGTCCCAACTAATGAAATGCAGTGGATTAGTTGCCTAATTTCAGATTCAAATCAATATCCACCATTCGTCATGTGTAGCAAGGTTGTATGCGAATTTCGTAGTTTCCAACGTAAATGTTTTGATCATTTTCTTTCACCAATAGATGTTAAATGGTCCCTCTCAAGAAATCAACGCTGTGTTAGATGTATGGTTAAGCTCTTCTCTGGGAATCGATGAGTGACTTATTGAAGACACAGGATGGCACAGGACGGGAACACGACAGGGCGTGACCTTTGAGCGAAAACAGCACGGCATCTGCCTGGCCCGTCCTGTTCCCATCCTGGCATGTGCCTGTCCGTTGCTTGCTTCTGTGAGCGCCCATAAGAAACCATATTAAGAGAAAATAAACGTCACTTTCCCGTCCTGTGACGTCCTGTCGCAATGTGCCTAGACTCTTATATGGTTCCTGATTCGTCCTAGAATTCGCAAAATCAAGTATCTATGTCATCAGAAAGTTGATTTGAAGTTTATTGAAAAAAGAAAGGAAGTGAAGAATCAAAAATATAATGAGACTGCATTTATGTCTCACAGAAACATAATATCAATTCGAATATGTCACTTAGTTTTGCCCCGTTTGTTGGAATAAATAATTTTTATTTTGAATTATGCCATTGAAACTAGTGAATTCCCCACTCTTGTCAGGATCACCCTGGGAAGCTGGCGCCGAAGATATATCTGGCGATGACCAGGAAAAACCTACGCTTAACAGTAGGATTTCTGACTGGCCACTGTCAACTAAGGAAACACCTCCCTAATATGGGACTAGTGGATACACCTCTATGTAGGATGTGTCAACAGGAAGATGGAACTGTCAGGCATGTCTTATGTGAGTATTATGGAAAGGACAGGATGGACGATGACCTAGGAGAACAACTCGTCGGGAGGATGTACAATGGGTCACATGTGGCATAAGTGCCGTGAGATTACTCCCACCTTCCCTACTCTTCAGATACCTACTCCCTGGAAACATGCCAGAGTTACACCTTTAGCAAAATGTAATGAGCATACTAATTTTTTTTCTGATAACAGAACTATAAGTATTGTTCCTACCATCTCGTAGGTCTTTGAATTGTTCATCAAAGAACAGATCACAGACTATATTAACCAAAACAATTTGATCACCTTCGTTCAGTGGGGGTTTCAATCCTTTCATAGCACAACCACGGCTCTGAGTCTAGTCATAGATGATATTTTGAGGAATTTCACTTGCCCTACTATGCTTGACTACAGTAAATCATTGGACACTTTGGATCCATCCATATTGTGTAAAAAACTGTAATGGGTTGGTTTCAACCATTTATTACTGATGAAAAGCTATATTTCTGATAGAACCCAAACTGTTCACCTCTCAACTTCAATTTCTAATAACTTTGGTGGACCGCAATTTTTGCAATTCCTATCAGCGACTTTCCTAAATTTGTCTACCGCAATGAAAGGTATCACTTCGCCGATGATACAAAATTTTATTCTTCATTCAATTTCACAGACCTCACACGAGGTAATGATAATATTGATAGAAATCTTCAATCACTGTATGCCGTATTTTTGCACATTACTGAACCATTAACCCAAAATGAGTTGTATGAATCTTTAGCTATCCATATCAATAACAATATTATTCCTATCGTAACTGAATTGAAAAAATTTGGCTTATAGCTAGATACAGACCTGAGGTTCCCTGAACATCATTCATGTAGGTCTTCATTCAATATTTCAAGACAANGTCGTCCCGAAAATTTATTGATGGATTTTCCAATATTAGCCAATTATCTTCAATTCACTGAGTCGAACTGGCGATACAAAACAGAACCGAGTGGTAGCTTCTGCATGGGCTTGGATAATCATCAGTGCAACTGGCCCAGAGGTAAGGTCGTTGGAGGTTCCAGCGTACTGAACTACATGATATACACAAGAGGAAACTGGCGAGATTATGATAATTGGGCTAGATTAGGAAACGAGGGATGGTGAGTTGCTTTCGATTAAATGTATATACAAATCTACTACCACTTATTGAAATAGTTGCCTCTTCAAAAAATAATGATGTGAGTGAAAGTAGTTGAAAATCAATCACGCTCAAAAACTGGTCTGTTCTATTTTTCCCCCATCAAAGTAGTACATCTCAGGTGAAAAACACTTGTGCCAGCTTTTTTTCAATCCTCGAAGCAGTTCAGATATGCACTTTTTGATATATCCTCGAGTTCTCTCAACCCATATGCCGATATCCTCAGCAACTTCTCCAATAGTGATTCAACAATTCTCCATGACAATTTTCTTCACTTTCTCAACATTTTTATTCGTTGATAAAAGTGTCTAGGGCGAGCGTCGTTATTCACATCTTCTCGTCCTTCTGTGAAAAGCTTGTACCACCTGTAAAATTTTTATGACTCAGAGTACATTCATCGTATGCCACTATCAACATTTCAAGTGTTTTTGAGTACTCAATTCCATTTTTTACATCTTGATACATATTCATTGATCCATTTTTTTCGATAGCAAAACAGTTTTATGTCCCCCACCACCAAACTAAACATACCAAACAGCTGAAACTGTGAACATATGTTCGAGACGAGCCTACCAATATAAAAAGGCTCTTTGCGGTCTGAGTAGGATCTTTCCCGCACTTGCGGGAAGTAATACCTCGAAACAGCGTAACCGTAGTCAACGTATTTTTATAAATCAATTGATAGAAGTATCCATACATCACTATGCAGATGACACCCAAATATATTTCTAGTTTGTTCGTGTCATCACGGCTTGAAACAGGTTGGAGCCTGGCTCCCTTACCCTTTCGACTGATGTTCGTCAGAGAGACAAACGGGTCAAGATTGATTTATGGGATGACGGCATGAATGTGCTCAGACATCACTACCGCCCTTCACGTGCACCCCTACCTGGCTGGGGTGTTTGGATGAAGATATTGTTCATCTTTCAACGGAGGACATGGGGGCCTCACTCGACAGAGTGTTTGGGCCTTCTATATCGAGAGAGGTCGTCTACAGCACAGTCTATAGCTTTCCTAACTGACGGATTATCGTGGGTTTCTGCGCAATCAAAGACTTGCCGATTCATCGACTGAATGGACTGCTTAATGGAAGGCAGCTGCAAATCTCTGCGGGTGGCTTCATTCCGCACGAACCATGGAGCATTCACTATCATCCGTATTAAATTATTTTGCAATCTCTCCAGAATGGAGATATAAAACGAAGCCCCTTGTCCCCAGACGCCTGAAGCATACATGATGACAGGCTTGAACATCGTTTTATAGATCGTAATCTTGTTCTTTAGGCTCAATTTAGAACGTCTGTTGTTCAGAGGGTACAGACTTTTGATCCGACCCTCGATCTTTGCCTTCACGGTTATGATGTGCGGGTTCCAGGTGCGGATCTTCCATTCGAGATACCAGCGCTCGGGGTCGTCCAATGCACGTTGCATGTAGACGACACCGAGCTCTCGACCCATGGAAGATGAGAGGAGAGCCGTGTCATCGGCGTACAGAGATATCTTCACACGCTCAGACCTCGGTTCGGTCACTGGTGTAAAGTGAGTACAGCGTAGGGGAGGGCACGCCCCCCTGTGGGGGCGTGCCCTCCCTGTTGTCAGACAGAGAGTCCTCTACTCCAACCTGAAATATTCTGTCTTTCAGGAAAGACCCAATCCACCGGATCAGGCCCCGAGGCAGGTCGAACGCGATTAGTTTATGCAGAAGGCGGGATATAAGCCGGAAAAGTAAATGTTTTTCGGTTGGCATTTACCAGAACCTACTGTGTAGTTAATTGGGTGAGATGAATGTTTCGGAATGTTATTTAGAAATACTCACTTTCTTGTATGTATGTATCTTCTCCACAACACAGGCTTCAGTTTTGACCTCTGAAGATGCCAGCCACTCGTGCCGGAATTTATAATTTCAATTATTCCAGTTTACATTTTCAAATGGATTTTCTCTTTAAAGTTTTATATGTTCTATGAGGTGATAGTATAGAAAACCAAAAGGGTTCTTTTATGAAAATCTATCTCTTCTAAAAAGTAGTCCTCTATCATATTCGATAGTTTACCAGTTTCCCAAGGTTTGTTTGACAAAATAATTTTTGCTTGATTACTATTGATGAGTTTTTGCGATTCAATTCTCCAGCCTATTGAATAGTATGCTGATTAATTATTTTTTCTGATTATTCGTAAGCTACTAAGAATTATTAATCTTCATTTTGCAGGTCCTTCAAAGATGTTCTACCTTACTTCAAAAAAATCGAAAACTTCACGGTACCAGAATACCAAGACCCCGAATTTCATGGTTCGAAAGGCTATCTGACAGTGGGATATTCTCCTGGTAAAACCAAAATTGCTGATGCAATAGTCCAGTCTAGCATTCAAAGCGGCATACCATATGTAGATTACAACGGAGCTACACAGGTGAGTTCAAGAAAACATGAAGGGACTTCAATAATAACAATCTACAGAAATTATGATGAACATAGAACTCGTTTTTGTTCACAAACATGGTATTGGTAGCTAAGCACTTTATAACGGTTGAAAAATCATTTTTGAAATCTTCGCAAAAAACACAATAAGTGTAACGTCCCAATATTCGAATCTGGATTTTTTGAAAATCCAATGAACATAATAGGTCTCAGAATGTGAATTTTCACGGCCCGAGATAACTGTGTGAAAGCTATTTTCCTGTTTTTTTGGTCATGGTTTCCAAGTTTTTATGGGACGGTGACTGTAGGCCCACAGCACTTAGACCACACGTGACCCATTGTACATCCACCCGGTCAACCTCCTAGGTCAACTTTCATCCTGTCCTGTCCAGGAAGGTGGGCAGGTCGCTGGGAGACATCTCCTTAATATCGGCAGGTGTAGGCCAAGACTCGCCGAACACACACTCTCTTTGGCAACCTAGAGGAGTCTCACGGTGGACTACGCGAAGGTTTTGGAAGGTGCAGCGACATTATTATCGTTGCGCAGCTTTTTCAGCCATCTTGGGGTTCCCTCCGTGGAGGTGTACAAGTGAGGGAGATTTCTTGCAGGGGCAGCCGATTCCTTGCCTTTATTCAAGGCGGAACTCTTGGCACCCGCCGCAGGAAGTGCCCTTGCTGTTGGAGGTGTAGTGGTGAAGGAGGAGGGTGCACTTATAGTTGCTGCCACTCCTGCCTCCTTTGCTCTCTATCTCCTTTTGGCCTTACGTCTTGGTCTTTGCATTACATCACGAGGTGATCTGCTATGTTCAGCCTCATTCCAAACGGTAGATTGGGGTGGACATTTCTGTTCATCCCAAGCCACCGCCTTAGATTGAGGTGAGCACTTCTGTCCAGCCTCGAGATTGGTTTTTGTTTTTGTTGTTTTTGTTTTTGTGTTTGTTTCATTTATCTGTGTTCCCACGAGTAGCAAAAGAGTTTGGTCACTTCTGGCAGAGCCCTGCTCTGCCGTAGGTTTCGCCCAGTTCCCCAAGGGGATAGTTCGTAACCGCATATCACACTGCGGCCATTCAGCTGTCGGCACGATTCCTTACACCTTAGCTTGCACGGAGCAATGACACCCAGATCTGGGTTTTCAAAAAATTCTACCCTTAGGTGAGCGGAAATGGGAGCTGGACCCTCTTATAACATATTCGTCATTTTTAACGCTGATAACTTGGTGCTGAGCCACTTTGCTAGATATTCAACGATACTTTCAGACCAGCCTAGACTGAAACTTCTCATGGTAGGCCGGCCACTGCCATTTCCAACATTGAAACCACGAAACTCTGAAACTCGGTATTAAGTTTCTTAGTTGAATTGTCGTTGTATAATTTGATGTGAATTGATATTCCATTATGGCTGATGTTTATGTATATTTTCTTGTAAATGTGAAATTCACAAAAAATGGAAATAATTTGAAAAAAAGATTATATATTGCTTCGACTAGAGATTAATTTTCTCCACCTGTTCACAATTTAGGTGTCGACTCGGAGTCGAATACATCTCTGATTAAATAACTTGTCTATGAAATTCAAATGTAAAAATGGGATACTTGATCAAGTTATACTAGGAGCTGCGTATCGAATACGTACCTACTTGTTGAGTAATAATATCTATCAGAGTGACCCTCTTCCTAAAGAATATTAACAAAAAATTCAAATAACTGCAATGAGTCACCCAAGAAAAACGACAATCGCAAAAAAATTTCAACAGCTATTTTCACTATTATTCAACAAATATTTTTTTCATTACAGATAGGAGTATCCAGGCTTCAGCTCAGCATGAAAGATGGATATCGAGACAGTTCCAGTAGAGCTTACCTGCATCCAGTGGCAAAGAGACCCAACCTACAAATGACCAAATTTTCTATGGTATCTAAAATACTCATCGACCCCGGAACTAAAACTGCCTTTGGAGTGGAGTTTGTAAAAAATAATAGAACCCATAGAGTGTTAGCAAAGAAAGAAGTAATAGTGTCTGGCGGAGCCATAAACTCACCACAGTTGCTCATGCTGAGCGGTATAGGCCCGAAAAAGCATCTTACTTCATTAGGAATACCTGTAATAAGCAATTTAAAAGTTGGGTATAATCTGATGGACCACATAGCCACGGGGGGTATAACTTTTCTCATAAACCAACCCTACTCCTTGCGCACAGATAGGATTATCAACAAGGAAAACTTGAACTTATACCTCAACCATCACAAAGGACCAATGTCCATACCAGGAGGTTGTGAGGTTTTGATTTTCCACGATTTTTCCAATCCCAACGACCCAGATGGTTATCCGGATATGGAATTGTTGTTCCAAGGCGGGTCCATTGTCTCTGATGAGACTTTAAGGAAAGATTTCGGAATAACAGATCAAATTTACGACGCCGTTTTCAAACCAATCGAAAATGAAGAAAGTTTCATGGTGTTTCCCATGTTAATGAGGCCCAAGAGTAAAGGCAGAATCATGCTGAAAGATGGAAATTACAAATCAAAACCCAGGATATATCCTAACTATTTCGCTTTTGAGGAAGATATGAAGACTATCCTGGAAGGAATCAGACTGATTTTGAATATAACTGAGCAACCCGCGCTACAGGCTATAGGGACGAGGCTGCATGACATTCCAATTCCACAATGTTCACACTTAACCTTCGCGAGTGATCCATATTTCGAGTGCATGACAAGATATTTCACATTCACGATTTACCATCAAAGTGGAACTTGCAAAATGGGTCCGCCGAAAGACAAGAAAGCTGTCGTAGATCCCAGGCTGAGAGTGTACGGTGTCAAAGGTTTGAGAGTCATAGATGCTTCTATTATGCCTGAAATACCGGCAGCTCATACAAATAGTCCGACATATATGATTGCCGAAAAAGGAGCGGACATGATCAAGGAAGATTGGGGAATGAATATTTAACTGTGATGATTTAGATTAATATTACGTGTAAATATAGATATTAGCGCATTTTGTTTTTTTGCAAGCTCTGTGACACACAGTGGAAGTAGAATCATTAGTGGAAATTGTTTTTCAGTAGCAGACACTGAATATAGATCCATTCTACAAAACACACTGTATTTGGATGCAAAAGTAGTGGCCCATGAATAAAATGATCTTTCATCCTGTAATATGTATGTGTTAAATTACAAAATTCTCAATATTTCAGAAAAAAATTTCCTGAGGCTCTTTACAACGAGGAATACAGTTTCAAGTTGTTGAAATATACAGTGTGTGAGAGCCAAATGAAATAAACTCATTATTTCGGTTACTGTTAAAAAAAAACCGAAATACGTCAAATGTAAATTATAATTTGATGTTCTTCAACGTAAAAATGCCACCCCTACCTTCAACCCTCTTCGAATGACAGGTACAACCCCCAATTTTTCAAATGGGAAGTATAGGTTTGTGATATATATTTTGAAAGGTCTCTTCCTTCTCTATTCAAAAATGTTATCGCTCTCAAGTTCATTGCAACAATTGAAATAAATTGAAATCATGTGGTTACCGAAATTCGATGAAATACACTCAAAACGTAATGAAATGTAGAATACGAAAAAGAACTATTGATGTTAACGAAGGAGGTGTTCGAAATGTTCACCGCGAACGCTATGGCAACATTTTAATCTCAAATAAAACTGTCTTCTAACATTATTTAACATATCAGGCGTGATCTAATTTGAGTTCATCACTCATTGCATTGGCAATTGCTTTTTTTATCTGCCACACATGACCAAGCTCGCGAAACTGCTTCAACCGCATGTGAGCTAACGCCCAGTTCTTTCGCCAACTCAAGCAGCGTTTATGATGGGTCAGTCACCACTAGGGTTCTCAAATCCTCGTCCTGGATAAGTGTATACTCTACTCTGTCCATCTAAGCAACGGAGTGCTCCGAAACATCACCTTGCTTAGTGCACGTGATCTTCCAGACAAGGCTGATTGTACAGAGTCGCACTAAGGAACGTCCGATTTTTTTTTTGTTAATGTGCGGGTGGGTATAGGAACATTTTTTAGGTGGAGTGTACGACACAAATCAGCAGTTTCTTCAGCCGTATCAGTACTTGATATTTGGGAGATTTCAAACTGTAAAATACCGTATATGTACACACCACAGGCGTTGAAACGTAACTGACCACTCCCAATGAATTCCGCCAGCCGATTGCCTTTAAATCTGATTTGCTAGCGTAAGGGGGTTTGTTTATTTTACCCAATAGATTCAAATGTTCGTGGTGATCACGCTTTGATCACGCATCTATCTTTGTTTGGGTTACTTTGTTTGTTAGATGGATATAGTTTAGATTGACCACTTCGCGCTAAAATCTCTGGAACGAAATTTCGCAATCCAAATGCCTAATTAATTTTTCGGGGTGTTTCGGTAGTGCTTTAGTTCAATTTGAATTCATAGAGAAAAAATGGCTGAAAATAGCTAGACGACATCATATAGTAATAAGCTAGAAACGGGCAAAAAAATATTAAAAAAATAAACAGCATCAATATATGGAGTACAAAGAGCCTATCTAGCTCTGAGGTATATTCCCAGTAAGTGGAGAGAAGTAAGAGTAGTATTTATACCCAAACCAGGTAGGATGGACTACACCCTACCAAAAGCATTCCGACCAATTAGTCTCACATCGTTTTTCTTAAAAACCATGGAGAGAC